CATTTCATTGAGTTGCAGGTTTCTTTTTCAAGCAGTGCAATATATTATATTTCAAGAGTTACATATTACATGTCGAATACTTTGACAAATTTATGCRCAAGACATTGTATTACATTCTATTGTATTSCRTCATTATTGTATTACATGTTAATTCATTAGTTAATTCATTGTTATGTGGATATAATAATACAATACTATGCATAAATTTGTCAGAGTATTGGACAATCCTCAAGAGTTATTATCATAATGGTAGTTTTAAGTCCTGAGATTCTTTGTGGGCAGATTCATTCATTTGTTCATATTATTAACCTTTTGTTTTTACAGGATCAGAAAGTATGRAAACTGACTCTCACCATATGCATGATTTCTTGACAGAAGTTGTAGTAGATGTAAATCTTAAATCAGGAGAAAAGAATAAAGCAAGCCTAGATAAAGCTATCATAACAGCAGTCGCTTTACGAAACAGCTGTGGAGGAGTCATACGGTGGAATTATGAAAAAACGACAAGCGAAAAGCAAATTGATAATTGGATTACTTCATATTGTTCCAAAGAAAGTGATCTAGGGGAAGTGGATCCAAATTTTCGATCTTGTTTCCACTACGTAAAAGATGCCACCTACATCTTTGTCAGGAAGACCAGTAATGTCCTAACCCAAGTACCAAACCTTTTCAAACGTTTGGAAAAATCCAATGAAAAGATTAAAGGATTCTCACAGATTGAGTCCATGTTGAAAAGGCACTCTAAAAAACAATGTAGTTGTATCAATCAGACTTTGGAAACAGGGCCCTTTCATCAGAATAATGTAGTATCATTTTTTGAATCTCAATATACTGAATTTAAAAATTTTCCCGATTGTGATTTTACCCCAAGTGGAATCTCACAAAAGGTCAAGGAAAACGTTGGAGCATTTGCCAACACTGATGGTGGCACTTTGTATATTGGAATAGCTGATAATAGAAAGGTTATTGGACAACTTGTTGCTAAAGACGATGAATGCCAAATTAAAGAATCCATAGGAAAGCAAATTAAGGAGATGATTTGGCTGCCATATTACGCCAAGACAGGAATAACACCAGAAGTAGAGAGGCATTACCGCATATCATTTGCTCCAGTAGGCGGAACTACAGATAGGGTGGTAATAGTTTTACACATCTGTAGATTTGATGGCACTGTGTTCCTTGATAAACCAAAATGCAGCACTATTGATGATAGCGACCAAGTTGTCAATATGGAATTTGAAGAATGGCTGATGCATTTCCAAACCCCAGGTATTCAGATATGAATTCACTGCTCTTTACTTTTACCTACACGTAACTGCTTATCACATTTAATTATTAAAAAAGTCCTCTTAGGTTCAAAAACATTCATTTCATATTGTTCATAGAACAGCAAAACTACATTTTCATCAAAAAAGGAAATGAATTAACTAATGAAATTACTCTTATTGTTTTCATTACTTACTTACTTTTATAAAAAATGTGTGCAATAAATGGTTTAGCTCTTTTCATGTTGTAGAAATTCATGTAGTCAATAGGAGATTTTATTATTAATTGTTATTATTATTATTATCATTTATTTATTTATAAAATTTATTTTTATTTTATTATTTTTTATTTATTTTTAATGGATAAATACTAAACATATTTTAGAAACTAACGATCCAAGATACGAAAGAAAGAACTGTGTCAGAAGTGTTTACAAACCACTCAAAGGAACAATACTTGACAAGACGTTTCAAGGTAATCACGCAATTTTGTCATCGTTCATGGCCAGAAGCTTATATAAGTCTCCCCAGACTGCTTGTTGTGTGACACTTRTTGGGACGTYAATACTCTAGTAAAGTTATTATCTTTTAAAGAATAGGAAATGGGGCTTCAATTTTTTATTGACAGCATTCTTGTAATTGGTCRCAAGACTACCAATATTTTTAAATAATTAACATTACTTTGCACTTGTTGCATACCCCATCATCTCGGCTTCTATATTCTGTGATTTTCAGTGCTGSAATGTTTATTGAATGAAGTGAAATACAAATATTATTATCAGAAGTTGTTCATACTTTGACACCTGCACTGTTGTCAAAGGAATCTAGTTTAGGTTTGACCAGTGGGTGTGTTTGCATTCCCTAAATGTGACTGCCCCATTTGCAATTATTCATGGTTCACAGGCTGGGGTGCATAGTTATTCTATGAAGTTTTGGTGGCAATTTTGTTGTTTTTGTTTGCTTGTTTGTTTGTTGTTTTTGCTGTAGTTGCTTAATAGTGACAATATTTGATTTTGGATATTCCGTTTATTCAGATTTGCCAGGACAGATAAGAGTGCATCCTAAGCATGCGGTTGAATGGATCGTCAACGATACTTTCACATCGCTTCTTGATGGTTTAAATGAATCCCTTGGCGCTAACGGCGGCCATGCTTTTGTTCAGAAAAGATGGGATACCATGCTTGGAAAACCATGTAACAAACCGAGTAATGTTATCTGTGACATACTTCTGTGCTTGCCTGATTACCCATTGATACTGATCACCCTGATTAATTCTGAGRAGAAGACAAGTGAGGTTCATCAGTACAACGTATTATTGGCCACCATGACTAAGAGGGAACTTGCCCAAGAGGCAAGGTGTTTGGAAGAGTTTTTTGTCAAACCTTTGGTACTGCGCAGCAGGGATATAAGCTCTTTCAGTGAACTGAAAAAAGAGTTTTCTCGTAATGAGTGCTATCCCCATCAGTACTCCAATATGTCTCCTGATAAATATTGTAAGCTCCTTGGAGCTTTAGCACTGGTTCTTGCCAAGGTCAATTACTGTGTCACTTGTGAAGCTCAACAGAAACATTATTTGGTACTAACACAAGACCAGTATGATATATTGGATGAGTTCTATGGAAGTGCGTCCAGCGTTCAGATTACAGGACCCCCAGGTACTGGCAAAACTCTTTTAGCAATAGAGAGAATTTCAAGACTCAGAATGGATGGCTGCCGCTTTGAAGAAATCCTCTTTTTGTGCTCAAATAAGATTTTGGCCGCCAGAGTCAGGTAAGTTTGTTACTCATTGCTTTTGAATTACCTAATTTCATATTGCTTGGTAGGAGGTTTGAGGTTTGAGCGCAGGGAACAAGATGGCTYTGCCCCTCAAGAAGATATCCATTTTTTCAAGTAACTTCATTGTTAATTAGCGTTCTCGGAATAAATTAAATCATTTAAGAGGTCAATAATATACATGTGAAAGATTTGATAAAACTAGTATTTCATCATTTGTTTATTTTTTCATTAATTTTCAGGAACTATCAAATGCGTCATGATAAAAAGCGTTTGTGTAGAGTTTGGAATTACTATCAGTRCATTGAAAGCGTGAAATTTGGTGAGGTTTTTAACCTTGGSATCCGACACATTGTGGCAGACGAAATCCACAATTTCAAAGAAAATCCCTCCGAAARCACACCTTACCGTTGGTGGGAACAGTTGCTGAAGATTTGTGACGACGAAGAGTCAACCTGTTGGTTTTTCTACGACTTCTCACAAAGAATTACTAAARAAGAAACCGTAAAAATACCTCGCAGATTCCCCACRAAAAATCTCGAAACAGTCATCCGCACCACACGTGAAACCTACAATTTCTACAAGCGCTTCATGCCARACASGACGGGCATAGGTCTTGGCCATGATATCGAGGGTCCAAAGCCCCGTATCCTAATACCTCAGCAAAGTGGTGTTAGSAAAGARAGAAATCTGGAGAACATCCTTCTCYATGTCCTACATGATTTGATTGTCWCKAAAGGGCACTCACCGTCCTCAATTTCAGTGTTGTTCGCYGAYGAWAMMGAMRRARMRAAGWAWWRT